GAAGGTCCATGGTCCCTCACTGCCCCTGGGACTGGATGTGAGGAGGAAACCCTCACCAGGAACCCACGAGAGTCAGACCCAGGGGAAGACTGGCCTGGAGACCACATGGAGGCTCTGGGTCCAAGCGTGGCTCTTCCCCCCAGATCCAACCTGTGATCAAGCCACTAACTCTGCCGACCTCTACTATGAGGACAAGGAGAAGGGCTGTGGCCCTTCTGGCCTCAAGTGGTGGCCACAAAAATGACAGCAGCCAAAGCAGGAAGGTGGAAGGTAAGAGGTAGTATTTTGACACTGTGCACATGCCTAGGGATATTCTGGGTTTGGATGTGCCTACAGTTTGTTTTTGTTTTTTTTTTTGAGACAGAGTCTCGCTTTGTTGCCCAGGCTCGAGTGAGTGCCGTGGCATCAGCCTAGCTCACAGCAACCTCAAACTCCTGGGCTCAAGCAATCCTGCTGCCTCAGCCTCCCGAGTAGCTAGGACTACAGGCATGCGCCACCATGCCCGGCTAATTTTTTCTATATATGTTAGCTGGCCAATTAATTTCTTTCTATTTATAGTAGAGACGGGGACTCACTCTTGCTCAGGCTGGTTTCAAACACCTGCCCTCGAGCAATCCGCCTGCCTCAGCCTCCCAGAGTGCTAGGATTACAGGCGTGAGCCACCGTGACCAGCCTGGATTTGCCTACTTTAAAGATATTTTAATACAGAAAAGTCCAGGTTTGCACCAAAGATCAGTTAGAGGCTGAAAAGATGGTAAAGCTGAAAGACAGAAAGGTACCAGCCAGGTTTGGAGGTTTTGCCAGCACTAGGGCAGGTGACAGGGCACAGTTCATTTACTGGGCACAGACCTGCCACTAGAGATGTCTTTAAGCCTCTGGCCTGTGACTTTGAAAGGATCAGTGGGACCTTCAAGGTTACTTGTAAGGAATCAGCCTCAAGGTGTAACTGGCTCTGTTCCAGGGACATAGGAGCCTCCTTAAGGGAACGTTGTTCTCATACTTTTTTCAGCATTACCCACGACCTAAGCAGGCTCTGGAGTCAGACTCTCTCAGTTCAAATCCCTCCTCCTCCACTTACTAGCTGCCTGACCTTAAGCAAGTTACTTAACTTCTCTGTGCTCCAATTTCTTCATTTGCAAAATGGATATATGTTAAAGAAATCTCATAAGATTTTGGAGAGGATTAAATAACATTCAATCTGGCTAGCACAGTGCTTGGCACATTGCAGACACTCACTAAATGATAATTATTTCTCCTCCTCCCTCTTTTTCATAATTGCCATTCTATCACTACAGACTACGTGCTAGGCATGACTTAACACACATTCATCTAAAAATGTATATCAAGCACTGTGGTAGGTATTGAGGATGGAGTAGTAGATGACAATTATGATATTACCGAGCATTTATTAGGCACCTACTCTATGCCAAAGCTCCATTAAACACTCAACACACATTATCTCTCGAAGGTCCTTGCCTTTGTGAAGCTAACGGTTCAAAAAGAGCTTTACATATATTATCTAGTGTCATCCTCGCAAGAACTCCACAAGGGAGATATTGTTGCCCCTACTCTACAGAGGAGGAAATGGAGACTGAGAAGTGTCAAACAGATTGGAAATAATGGGATTGAGATTCAAATTCAGCTTTGAGGCTCAAAGCCCATGCTCCTGCCATGCCACGCTGCTGCCCCGCCCCCGCCTTGCTAAATATTCACGCCTTAGCTGCCACGTCCACAGGAGTGTGGGGCTATAGAAAAGCATGTGCTGCTTTGTGTCTGGACACACGGGCCTGGACACACTTCCATGACTGGACGCCTTGTGTTAGCAGTGTGGGTGGTTTGTGTAATTATAGTTCTGAATCTTATGCCTGAGGGAGACTGTTTATGTGACTCTGTAAGATCACGTGGGTAGGTGCGGCTGTGGTTGGATTGTGGGTCAGCGTAACTGTGTGTGTACCATGTGTGTTCAGACCACTGTGGGCTGTTGGCCATGGATGGCTCAGCGGGTGGTGGGTCGTGTTGGTATATGGGGCTCTTCTGCCTTTCCTTTTAAAGGAAGGGTGCTGGGGGCAGGAGGGGGTGGCCTGCTAGATGGACCCTTCCAGGTGGGGGCGTCCATGGCCCGGGTGGCTCCTCTGCCCGGTGCTGGGTTTCAGGCTGAGAGACGGAGAAGCTCATTTCCCCTTAAACACTGTGGATTAAGGGCCCGCAGTGGGCACGGGCGGGAGGGCGCCGTGTCGCTCACGTTACAAATCAATTCATTACCGGCACTAGCAGTCGCCTCCGATCTTCAAGGATCGGGGGTTTGATGAAGAGGATTCATTTCAAGAAATAAACCTTTTAAATTAACCACGAGATGAGGGAAATTTCTTTATTTAAAAAATGCCCAGGCCCTGCTGGCTTTGTTTTCTCTTTCTTATTAGCATTGTTATTGATAATCCCACCCTCACAGTTCTCCAGGGCCGTGTCCGCCCAGCCCTGGGAGGCAGAGTGCACCGCTGGGACCTGGGGCAGACTTACCCCGGCCACCACTGCCAAGACCGCCTTCCTTACCTGGCCCAACAGTGGGGTCCCACCCAGGCTCTGTGCCACAGACAGACTCTCAGGCAGATGGCCAGGAGCCTGCCGTGTGACCTTGGGTGAGTCACCTGACTTCTCTTTCCTCAATGGCGGAATGAATGTAGAGTCATCACTTTGAAGTTAGGGGTTCAGCCCTTGAGCACAAGTTATCAGTGGGCACACAGGCTCAGGGAAGGGTCGTGGCTCATCCAAGGTCACAAAGAATCTTCTTAGCAGAGATGGTTTTGACACCAGCCTCATTCTCGGTCTAGTTTCTACCTGGAAACAAGGTATCTATAAATTATAAAGCACTTGATACACATTATCTCACTGAATGTGCACTCATAACTTGTTAGGTATATATGACTATTAATATCTGTTTTAAAGATGAGGAAATTGAGGTGCTCTGGGAATGTACTGCTCAGAGTTTTGGCAGAAACCATATGACATACTCTATTGAGTTATCCAAGGACAGTTTAATAAAGCCACTATCTACAGAGGTGTGGGCAGAACTAGAAACAGTACAAGTGATGGCACAGTGTCCCAAGGCTAGTAACAGTGCTAAGCCATGGCCAAGTCAGATCTAAAAGGGACAAAGATGAATGGAGAAGGTCACCACAACCAGAGAGAGATCTGAATGGGGATGTGTGGCCTTCAGCAGAGACATGCAGCTAATCCGTAGCCACCTGGAAGAAGGGAGCCAAAGAAGTCCCCTCTCATCTTGCTGGTGACCCCTTTTGGTCAATGCCAAGGGAACCAGTTGATGCAGATTGTCTGGGGTGGGCCAGGCTTCCGGGGCCGGAGCAAGGTGGAGAAGGGTGAGAAGAGATCTGGAAGGGCAGACACCAGCACAGGGACTGTGACCTGCCAGTAAATGGCAGAGAAAGGATGGGCCTTCAGGATTCCTGAGTCTAAGGGTTTCATAAGTCCAAGCCATAGTCTTCTATGCCACTGTGCTCTGCCCCAGTGATATCTGGCCCCTGTTCCCAGGAACTTTGCACAACTCAGATGAAATGCTGGGCCTGGAGATGTAACCTAGTGTGAAGTACAGCTGTCCCTCCCTGTGGCCATACCTGTGGCATCCAGCAATGACAGATGTCAGCATTTCACCTCCCAGGGGGCACGCCAGCACCAGAGATGGGACTTTCTGGAAACCCAAGGCTTTCACCCAGCAGACTTTGGGTTCCCTTGCATGGGCCCACTCTGTAATCAAAAGTCTGCCCTAAAAGAGTCTTCAGACCACAGAGCTAGCACAGGGATTAGAGCAGTTGCCCACCTCCCCCCCCCCCACGAGGCTGTCTTATTCCATTTCAGCTGCTATAACAAAATACCTGAGACTGGGCTATTTATATACTACAGGAATTTATTACTTATAGTTCTGGAGGCTGGGAAGTTCAAGATCAAGGTGCCAGCAGATTGGATGTTTGGTAAAGGCTCTCTCTCTGCTTCAGGGTACCTCTTGCTGCATCCTCACTTGGTAGAAGGAGAAAAGGGACAAAGAACTCCCTCAAGTCCTTTTGTAAGGACACTTAATCACTTCCCAAAGGGCCCCACCTCTTAATACTAACACATTGGGTATTAGGTTCCAACATATGAATTTGGGGGGACACCAACGTTCAGAGCACAGCAGAGGGAGAAGTGTGGGGCCCTGGAAAACATCGCCTACCACTTCCTGTGTGACTCACTGCCCACTTGGTGTAGGATGGGTCAGAGGATCTCAGGGAAACCCAGATTAGGGTCCCCTTTCCTTGCCACTCCCCCAAAGGGAAAGCTAGTCTGACAGATTAAGGTCATGGGAAAACTGAGAGAAAATTGGACCCAGAGAGGTAGAGAACTCAGAGTCCTGGGGTACTCAGAGCCTGGGAATGCCAGGGAATTTGGGGGTCTACAACCTGGGAGAAGGAGGGGATGGGAGCTCTCAGGGGTGGGGGTAAAACCAAGCTGTTTAAACTCTATTTTCCAAGTTGCATCCCCACTGGTATTTGCAGAGTCATTTCTAGGGTAGGGGTCTGCATTCCTTCTTAGAACAGAGCTCCCCAAGGCCAGGACCATGTTTGTCCTCAGACTAGGGGTTTCTGGAAGTGGAGCCTTTGCTCATCCTCTGTGTGGCTTCCTAAACTCAGCCCAGGGCTCTGGTCTTAAGTGGGGGATTCAACTCAGATACAGCCTCCCCATCCAAGAAGATGCAATCCCTGAAATCTCCCTGTGCCTTCCTAGGCCTCCCAGCCCCGCTGCCCTGCAGCCTCGGCAAGGAAGGAGGGGAGGAGAAAAAGGCCTTCCCAGCCTCAGCATAGACCTGCCCAGGTGTGTGGGGGGGACCAGCTCACCATCTCATTAACGTGGAATTGTTTTTAGGTTAATAATCTTGCGTTAATTTTCCCTTAAAATATTGTCTTTGACCGTTAAATGCTCACACTGTTATAAAAAGAACGTAATAAATGATCTTGAAGCAAATTCTCCTGCCAAATGTCATAATTTATTTGCATAATTAGCTCTTAATTTTAATTCAATATGCAAATCCACGCTTCCTTTCCATTGCAGCCGCCTGTTTCCCAGCCGGGCGGCCATGAATTTACTGTGACGCTCTCTCCACGGCTGTCAGAGGCGGGGGTGGGGAGGCAGGCACCTTCTGGGGCTGGTGCCTGGAGGAGGGGCTCAGACACACAGACTCAGATGGACAGGCCCATGGGCCCCACTACCTAGGTGCAGGACCTGTGTGGACACCAGAATACTGGTAAACTGAGGACTCGTGTAGAGACCTGGGGGTGAAGGCATATGAACCCAGATTTACAGGCTGACACATTAAGAAACCCATGGACACCCACGGAGACACATTACATAGGCAGAAACACTGCTACGCATGAACACATGAACACAGACTCCCATGCAGTCACATGGCTTCATGGACACAGACAAATGGACTGACATTCGGAGACATGGGCATGCCCAAATACACCTACAAACGCAGAGAAACACAGATCGCAGCCAACGAGCAGAGATGTGTGGGCAGCCACAGACATGCATCCAGGCAGACCCAAACGCTCCCGATAGAGACATGCCCGGGCCTGGGCACAGATGTGCAGCGCCACACCTGCCGAGACACACAGAGCTGCTGAAGCCACGCAGCTACACGTACACACACATAACATGACACGTTACCCTGATGGAAACTTGACAACCCTACAGAAAAGCCAGTATGCTACATGGACACCCCACACATCTTATTTAGAACTTGGCCTTGAAGTCTCCACAGCAACATTTTTGAGGCATCGTAGGGCTTGTGGAAAGAGCACTGAACTTAGAGTCCAGGGACGGGGTTCTGGCTCCAGCTCCACTTCTCATGAGCTGTTGGATCTTGAATAAGCTCTTCATTTTTTGTTAAATAACAGCTTTATTAAGATGTAGTCACAGTGCCCGCTTTGGCAGTATATATACTAAAATTAGAACAATACAGAAAAGATTATCAAAAAGAAAACAAGATATAATTCACATACCACACAATTCACCTATTTAAAGTACACAAGTCAATGGTTTTTAGTATATTCACAGGATTGTGCAATCATCACCACAAGAAATTTTAGGACATTTTAATCACCCCCCACAAAATCCCCATATTCATTAACAGTCACTCCTCTTTTCCTCCAACACCCACCCACCCCAGCCCTAAGCAACTACTATTTATTTCCTGTCTCTCTATATTTGCTTATTGTGTGTATGATTATAAAGGCAATCATACAATATGCGATTTTTTGTGACTGGCTTATCTCATCTAATACCATGTTTTCAATATTTATCTATGTTGTAGCATGAATCAGTACTTCATTCCTTTTTATGGCAATGAACTAATATTCTGTTATAGGGATAAACCACATTTTATTTATGCATTGGTCAGTTGATGGGTTATTTTCGCTTTTTGGCTATCATGAATAATACTGCCAGGAACATTCTTGTACAGGTTTTTGTGTGGACCTATGTTTGCATTCTCTTCAGTTTATTCCTGAGAGTGGAACTTCGTCTTCTTAGAGTTAGGTTTTCCCCTCTATCAAATGAGGGGGCTCCTCCTCCAGCTTCACTTGCTTACGATCAATGTGGCATTCTCTAGCTGAGATCATGGCTCTTCTCACACACACACTGGACATACACAGACACTCAGGTACTTGCACACACAGACAAAGTCACATACTCAGTCATCAACACAGCCACCTGGACCCATACCATAGCCCTATAGCTCCAAGGGCACAGATGCACCTGCGGTGACCTAAACCCCCATGAGGACCCGCATGCAAAGGCCTAGAGAAGAAGATGGACATGGAGTTGGAGAGATGATGACAGCTACAGGGAAGAACATCCTGACTCAAGGAGGGTCCTTTCATGATGATGGAGGGGTGTTAGGGATGGCGGCTCTCTGGGGTGGGGGCTGTCTGGTTGGGTCAGGGTCTGAACACCAGGACACATGGGTCCCACATCCCTATGTGTTTCTGCCCTACCCTCTACCTGACCAGGGAATCCTTTGTCTCTCTGCCCCACCTCCCCAGAGGAAATGTGACCCCTCCCCACCCTTGCTCCCCCTTCCCCACAAGCTAAGGAGACAAAAGGGATCCTTTTCCAGGATAATTAAGCCTCAAAGACAGGAGCTCCTCCCAGGAAACTGATCCGGTTTGCCCTGGGAGAGCCCTTTCGTGTGGGAGGGGAGGACAGGGAGACAGGAGAGATGGCCAGGAGAGCTCAGAGACGCCAGCCGACACTGACTCTTGTGGCCATATATTCTCTGTCATGAAAGTTTGATCTTTATTTCCCCTTGTTAGGAGAGGGGTTATGGAGTTGGGGGCCTGATTAGCTACAGACTCTAACTTACCGTCTCTGGTAATCACGGGAGTCCTGGGTAGGGGCGAGCAGGAAACGCGTGCATATGTGTGGCTGTGCGGACGCCCATGTTGTCATGGATGTGTGTTGACACTGTGGCTGAGTCTCAGTGTGTGCGCGTGTGAATGTGTGCCTGTCCCCAACCCTCTTGGCCCCCACCCCCACCCATGCCCCCCTGCAGAAGACTCACTGTGCGGCCTCAGCGGAGTTTCTAACCTGGAGTGATCGCTTTCCTGATTTGCCACTTTAGTACTCTTGTTAATGAATTTTTAATCTTCTTAATGACATTAAACACGGAAAGTAATTAAGGAAAACAAGTTTGAAACTGCTGACTTCAACCCTTTATTCACAACTATTTAATGTAGAATTAATTTGATTTTGCCCATTATTCAAATGAACGCACTACCTTCTCCTCAGCCCCAGGCCTGTCCCCTTGCCCCCTCCCTGCATGCCCAGAGACCCCCTGTCATGATCACCCAGTTATCCCTGACCAAGTGGGTGCTGGTTTCTGTAACATGTCTGTGCTGGGGACCTGGGGGTGATGACTAGGCCAAACCTGGGGAAGGTGAGGAAGGCTGAGTGGCCTCTGGTTGGGAGAATTGCAAGGAGGGAGGCAGGAAGACAGAGGGGCCTGGGAGCCCCTTCCCCATGCTCCATCCGTCTCAGGTTTCCACCCATGGATACTCAGTCAATAGCTCCTACGTGTTCCGTGACCTGTGCACTGAAATGCTTGGATGTCAGAAGCCTGGGGTATTCAGATGTTTGGACATTTGGATTAGTGGGTATTTGGTATTAAAATACATAACTCTGTAGAACTCAAAATAATCAGGTATTTGGAGGCTCAGATCCTGGGCTTGGTACCAGAATGGTCAGATCTCATGATATCCATTTTTCAGAATTTTAGACCAACAGAAAGAAACTCCCACTCCTAAACCCTGGGCTTCAGGCCACTGTTTAGATGAAGCTACAATGGGCAAGTTAAAGCTGTGTGAGGCTGGGGTTAAAACCTATCCAGGTCCTGGAAGCAGAAAGCAGGCCCCAGGACAAAGACAGCTTATCCCCGAGCCTGACACTTTGTCCACCACCTTCCAGAAGGGGTCCTTAAGCTGCCTCTGAGCCCTGGGTGAGAGGGAAGGCAGGGTCCAAAGGAGCCTCTGGGCAGTCAGTGCCTGGGCCTTCTCCAAGTCTGAAGGCAGTGCAGCAGGCACCTCTTCCCCGGGGCAATGTGCTCAGGGCTGGGTGGGGAGCTGGGAGAACAGGTGCAGGAGGTCACCCCAGCCTCGGGGCTCCTTCCCCAAAAGGCCTGTCCATTTCGGCTATGGGTGCCAGATCCTGTTTTGTGTGGGAGTGAGTGTGCATCATGCATGGCCACGACAGGAGGTGCAGGGTGGACAGAACCCTGGGAGGCAGCAAAGGGAAGTGGGACTATCTCAGCATCAGCTTCAGGAGGGGCGGACTTAAATCCTGACTCGGAGCTCATCCCTGACCTCTCCTTTCCTCCTCACTCAAGTGGGGAGATCGAGTCTTGCCTCAAGGAATTGTGGTGACAAAATGAGATGTTGGAGGGGCAGTCCTGGCACAGCGCCTGGCACATGGGGGCCTCCCCCTTAATTCCTGCACCATTACCCCAAGCCCCACCAGTGGGAAGAAAGGACACTCTAAGAATGTGCCAGAGAAGGAAATCTGAGGGCTTCTGGGGCTGGGACCAAAAGAGGGTCTCTGGAAGATGTGGACTTGTCCACACACCCTGAGAGTGGGGAGAGCTGATGGGAGGGGAGTCAGCATCAGGCAGCCCCCTCTCCCCCTGAGCAGCCTCAGAAATGCCCCTCCAGCCATTGCCCTGAATTAGCTTCCAAAAGGGGTTTCCCTGCCTCTTCCCACTTCCTCTTGCCTCTTCTCTCTCAACAAGCTTCCCCAAGTCACTTCCCTCATCTCAGCGCCTGGAAGAAAAGCAGCCCCAACTCCATGCCCCCCCATTCATGCCGCACTGAGCCATGACTGGGCCTGAGCTAATGCGAGAGTCTCCCTCACCCCGTCCTCCCATTCCAGGGACTTTATGGGCTGAGACGCCGCCGGCTCGCTCACTTCTCCCTCTCTCGCTCCTCTTTCCATCATTCTCCACGTCTCTTCCTCCCTCTTTCTTCCCCTGCAGGGCCAGCCTTGCTCTTCCCTGTCTGTCTGTCTCCATCTGCGTGTCTGTCTACACCTCTCTAGGTCTTGCTCACTTTCTTAAAAGAGCGTGGATTCTAGAACATTTCTGGCTACCACTACTGTCCAGTGCATGCTCTCAGGAAAGGAAAAGCAGCCTGAGCCCAGCAGGTGACATGGGAGGAATCCACTCTTGAGAGTGCCCTGGGGTAGGGGGAGCCCTGAAACTCACCTGCTCCTTGGAGTGCAGTCCCAGCCAGGCCAGAGCCCAGAGCAGGTGGGTCTCTGTCCCAGTTATTGCACCCACTTCCCCTCCATGGTGACATCCTGGGAAGGGCCAGGAGGCATCTAAAGGAGAGGACTGGATCGATGCAGCACACCTACATCACCCTCTCAGCCCTATGTACCCACCCAACACCCCCCCATAATACACACTCACGTAACAGCCAGGCCGGCGCCCTCGCACTCAGACACAGTATGCGCCGGCACAGACACGCAGCTCCCCCAGCACTCAGATCCCACACGCGCACACAGATGCATACGCACACACACATATACACGCAGAGATCCCACAGGCGCCCAAAAGCACAGGGCAATGATTAATGTCCCCTCAGAAAAAGAAATTATATCGAATAAATTAAACTACTGTGGCAGCAAATTGAAAAATAAGGATGTAAATGAGGTTTGAATACTTAATATCGAAGACAAGGGGGGGAACAAGAAGGGATCGCCGGGTCCCTGGAGAAGGGAAAGGATGGTCCCTTCTGCCCCCAAATTCGACTCTGGCTCCTGTCCAGAGACCTCAGAGCTGGGAAAGGGGTAGTCTAGGGGCTCCAGCCAGCACCAGGGAGGGACTCTCCCCCCAGTGGCCATCGCAAAGAAGGTCTCAGAGCCTCTGGAAAGACTCAGGGAGGGAGGATGGGAGGACGTGTCACGGCCACCTGGCAGCACCTGCAAACCCACCCCTGACAGCCCCCAACACACAGACGGACACTTGCTCTCAGCCGCAACAACCACTCCTTGGCAGGCCCTCCGGCTTACGGAGCTACTCAACTCTCCGCGGCCCCTGCCTGCCCACCCAAAGGCGTCTGATCACACGTGCCCTGCTCACCCTCACGGCTCAATCCCAAAGCTGCGCGCTCTCAGAACTCACCAGCCCCTGCGTGGCCCCCAATATATCCTAACCCCCACACACCCTGAACACAGCACACTCTGCCCATTTGCCTGCCAACACCCCAATATCACCCTGGCACGGTCCTACCCACATCAAACACCCCCAATCTCCAGCGCACATGCCCGCATACACGTAGGCATTCTCTCTCTCTCTCTCTCTCTCTCTCTCTCTCTCTGTCTCTTTCTCTCTCTCTCACACACACACAAACTCTTTCCTTGGAGCACTTCATGACAAAGTCCTGTCACTCCC